TCTTCTCCAACAGCGTGGTTCAAAGGCACGGATTCTTCTCCAGTCTTCCCCATCCATCGTTCAACTTTCACATGTGTAGGGAGTAATTGAAAATACTGGCTTGGATCAGGTGCACCTTAGCCTTTAAACTGAAACCCTTTCTTTCGAGCATTCTGGAGAAGCCCTTGATAACAGATTTCCCTAACGCAAAACATCTACTGATTTCTTAACTGCTGCTCCCATGTCACCGGAGATGCTTACAAATCAAAGTAGTGCCGTCTACTGGGATCCCCTGGGGAGGCTTTCTGGAGGCCCTGGGGAGCACGGGGTTCACGGTGAAGGGGGAGGAACAATCTGGTGGGGCGGTGTGGAGGGCAGAGTAGAAAGGAGGTGACTGTGCCGTTCACCAGCACTTGTGAGGCCTGTGGACTGCCACAGGCTCTGCTCGGTATATTCTCAACATCAAGACCAAACAGTGAAAAGTAAGCCATCTAAATGAACTTCAAATTACTAAATGCGTAGAAGTTGCTGAAATGGTGCATGTCCAGTTGTGTATGTTGCTGTGTACTGTCAACTCAGAACTGACTCACAGCTGACCCTCCAGTCGGGTCACAGAGGAGGAGATTGCCCATCGCTCCCTGGGAAGCAGCTGGCGGATTCAAACTGAGTACCTTTGGGTTGGCAGTGCACCTCCTTACCACTAAGACACTATATAGTTCCTTCGCCTGTGCAAATTATCAACAATCACAAAGACACACAGAAAATAAGTGTAAAATACTAAGTACTGAAACGACCTTCAAATGGAAAAAGAACTATCTGGGAAGGACCCCTATGGGTAAGACATTTGGTTGTTAAGCAGAAGGTGAGCAGTTCAGATCCACTAGCCCCCCCTCAGGACAAAGCACAGCGATCTACTTTCACGGAGAAGCACGGCCTTGGAGACCCTCTGGGGCAGCCCTCCTCCCTCCAGAATCCCCCCGAGGTGCAATCAGTGCAGTGGCAGCGGGTCTGCTTGTAGTCACGCATCTGTGTGCCCTCAAACTGACAAGAGCAAGCAGAGAGGGCCGGAGCCTGGGGCGGCAGTGAATTTATGTTAACGAGAAAGGAGTGATTTGGAAATGGAGGGTGACAATGGCTGTATGAGTTGAAGAATGTCATTGGTGTCACCGAAATGTCCATGCAGAAACTGCTGACTTGGTGTGTGCTTGGCTGGTTATAGTCTCAACAGAAATAAAAAGAAAATAAATGATAAAAAAATAATGAGCCACCAAAATGAACTTCAAATGGAATCTCCTCCTGCACGATCAACTGCCTCGGAAAATGCACCATAGGGTCGGCTATGGGTCAGCTCCAACCCCACAGTACACAACCTCGTCGACATAGGTTAACCTGACCACAGCCTGCACGGTGAGCTACACCCCGAGGGGCCGCGAGCTCCCCCTAGTGGAGGAGAAACCGCAGGGGAGTGGAGGGCCAGCAGGGTGGCAGGGCCTGCAGAAAGCACTGAGGCTGTGGACATTCTGGGGGGCTCACTTTCAACAGCAAGAAGAAACAAAACTATGGGAAGGGTGAGTTGTTTGTTTTTAGACAGAGAATGTGGACATCAGTCCTGAAAACTATTCCTTTCTGAAATCAGTCAGCTTCACACGGAAGTCCGGGTGTCCATGGGCTTCCAAAGTCAGAACAGGAGCACAGGAGAACTCTGGCCATGTGATCTCCATGCACAGGCAAAGCTGAGGGGCAGGAGTGTCTTCTTAGGGCGAGGATGCTGGAGCCAGCACTCTAGTTTGCAAGGGCTACATTCCTCCTTTGGTCCTGTTGTCAGGAAGGGTCAGTTCTTGGAAAAGGACATCGTGCTGGGAAAGGAAGAGGGTCAGAGGAGGAGAGGAAGACTTTCAACAGGATGGGTCCACACAGTGCCGGTAACAGAGGGTTCAAGCGAGCCAGAGCTGGTGAGGCTGCTGCGGGGCGAGCTCAGATCAGCTCCCGGGGTTGCTGTGACTCAGGGGTGGCTTGATGGCACACAACGACAACAGAGATCCGTCCTCTGGTTTAAATGATCTGATAGTGGGTTTCAACACAACACGGCCCTGTCTTCCAGAGACTATACACCAGAGGCGATGCCCCTCCACGCCGGTGGGCCAGCACTGAGGGCAGTGGTCCCGGAGGGAGATGCTGCCCCTCCACGTCGCTGGGTCAGTGCTGAGGGAAGTGGCCTTGGAGGGATAGGCTGTGGCATGCATCCCCATCGAGGACGATGGGGTGAGAGAGGGTGCCAATCAGCTCAGACCCTGGCGGTGGAGGCCGGCTTTCCCTTAGTCTTCTAAAGCTCTGGGGTCTCCCTTCTTTCTGGGGAGCTGATGGACTTGTGTGTTTGGCAGGACCCCATTCAGCGCACAGTCATTTCCTGGGGATGGAGAGGTGTGTGGTCTCTCAGGTGAGCTGCCTCTCAGTTCAGGAGGAAGGATGGGCTTTGACGGTCCAGTTCTCTAAGAGGGAAAGGTGCTACCTGCGAGCTGGTGAAGCGCCCTGGAGGCTCTACAGAGCCACAGCCATTAGGAGTGGGCCGTCCATGGTGAAGAGCTGATGGCCTGCTTTCGTAAGGGCCCTGCCTTGGCCATGCTGGGGCGGACACGCTTGGGGACAGTCCTATCCGCCCACATGGGGTGCTGAGTGGCAACCAAACCAATGTCACGCCACAACAACAGGAGGGCCTCCTCCTTGTCTGGGCGCCTTTCAGGGGCTTCTTGATTCGGGAGCCCTGGTGGTACAATGGGCTAAGCCTTAGGCTGCTAACCAAAAGGCTGGCAGTTCAAAGCTGTCAGCTGCACAGCAGGGAAAAGGCGAGGCGGTCTACCTTGCAGAGGTGTGCAGCCTTGGAAACCAGGGCAGTCTCCTCTGCCCTGCAGGCTCTGTGAGTGGAGACTAAGGAGTGATGGGCATGTTGGGGGCGTCAGGGCTTACAGCCACTGCACAGGTCGCTGTGAGCGAGAGCCCACTGCAGATGTTGGGTTGTCCGCCGAGGAGCAGTGCAGGCAGTGTCCCCTTAACACCAGCCTGAGGGGCCCTCTCATCAGGAGTGCTGTGAGCAGGTCACCCTGATAGCAATCTCACCCACTTAAGGAACCAGAAAGATGAGAACCAAGGGCTCAGGCACCACGGTTCACTGTTCCTGGACTCTGATAATGGGCTGGGGCCGCCCTTAGCCAGGGCGCAGGACTTAACTCCTGACACAGTCATACCCTGGCAGTTAGCAGGCAGGAACACAACACAGCTCACTCCGTTCCCTCCGTCTCTGGCCTGGCTGATTTCACAGGGCGCCACTTTGCTCTAGGTTTGTGTAACAAAAGATAGTCTCTATGGTGGTGGCTGGCAGGTGTCTGCACCTTGCACAAGGCAAACCCCAGCAGGGTGACCACAGGGGAAAGGTTTCACTGTGCATCCAGACTAAGACAGACTGGGAAGCAAGGCCTGGAGACCCACTTGTGAAAAAGTAGCCAGCGTAAACTTCACAGATGGCAATGGAACTGTCTATAGACACGTCAGCAGCTGCGAGCAGTCATTAGACAGAGTCAAGCAGGGAGTCAGCGAAGGGGGAGGATGGACACGGTGGCCATGGCCATGACGCTAAAGGACTGGCCGTCAAAACAAGGCCCAGGACGGAGCAGTATTTGACTCTGTTACATGTCAGGACACCATCAGAGTCAACTCAACAGCAACTAACAATATCCAGTCGCTTCCACCTTGCTGACAAAGCTGTCCTCAGAAGACAATTCCTGGATGTTGACCTTAGTAGCAAAGTATGGGTTCGGTGAACGCTTTAGGATCTACGGGCTGGAACGGTGGGGTGACGGTTGGGGCACCCCATCCTTGCACTCCCCAAGCTTTATGATGAATAGATGTTTCTTGGAGGAGCACAGGACCTGAACACCTGGGGAGAACCCTGTGGCCACAAATACGGCTGGAAGATGATGACGTTTCTATGCGCACCCCGGTATGTGGTGGCTGTTAATGCACCAGAGTCAGGACCGATCCAGCCTACCTGCCAGCAGGTTTTTAGAGGCAGTAAATCGCAGAGGAGGAGGCTGCCTGTCTAACTTCCTCAGAGCAGCTGGCGGCTTTGAACCGTGTGCCTCTGGAGTGGCAGCACAGCTGGATGGCCTTCCGGCTGGGTACACGTGACTGAGCTGTGAACACACCCAGGTACGTGGTAGAGCCAACCGGGTGACGGTTATGTACGTTTCTTAATTATAACCAGACACCATGAAGATGTGAGTTTCTGGTCTTGGGGCCTTGAGTCTTAGGAGGTATCAAGGTCAGCGTACCCCACAGCCCACACGGACAATGCTCGCATCCCACTGTGTCCTGAAGCTGCGAGGCACAACTACTGGTCCCTCCCAGTCCAGAGCAACGAGAAGTGAAGAAAAACAAAGCCACAGAGAAGCAGCGAGTCTGAAAGGCCAGCGGGCATGAGAGCCTCTACCTGATGACCCGGAGCCCAGAAGAGCTGCTGGTGCCGAGGATCACAGCCAACTGCTCAGAAAGGGAGGGACGGAGACAGAAACGTGCAGCAAAACCTAAGTTACAAGAATGGTCAAGCTTGCTGGCCCGGGAGACACTGTAACCCTCCCTGACCCCTGGAGTCGAACTAGCCACACCCCAGCGGCTCAGCTTTCTGCAAAACAACAGGCAGGCCTGGAAAGTGGACTATAGCTCCAGGGAGGACCAGGCTCCTAGGTCCACGAGCCACCTCGGGCACCTGACCCAGATAAAAGCTCAGACGACAGGAGGGAGCGAAAGAAGGATGAATGGAAAAAGGAACCACAGGGAGGGACCAGGAAGAGTGGTGTTATAATATTCTAAAAAAGAAAAATATAACTAAAACCTTGGCAAAGATTAGGATAGATTTTGGAAAGTCAATTTCTCCTTTCCTGAGGTGTGTAAAGCTGCCGGCAGTAGAAGGTGACCCCGTGGCTACCATCAGCTTGGGTTTGTGTGGCCCCACTGTGTGAGGACATTACCTATGATGGAGAGAAAGGCTTTGGCCCTGGCTGGCTCGAAGCTGCGTCCCCTCAGCGTCGCCTCGCAGACGTACACCCCTGTGTCGGCTGAGGTGGGGTTGCTGATGGTCAGGTACCTCCCGAAACTGTGCAGGCCGCTGGTGACCCGCATCCCATTTCTCTTCCAGGACACGCTCAGTGCTTCCACAGGCCTGGGGGGACAGAGGGTGTGAGGGACAGGCATTAGGCACGCCGAGGGCAGGGGCAGTGAACTCAGCCAGGTCTCCGGCACAGGGCCCACGGCTGGCTGCATGGTGGTCATTCACCAATCACGCCAGACCCAGTTCTGCTCCTGTGCCAGGCATCAACAGTGCCTTCCGCTCAAGGGTTGCTGTGCAAGGCTGGCTAATTAGAGCAGCAACGGACCAGAAGGGCTAATGATTTCATTTGCTCAAGAAGAAAATATTTAAAATAAATATTGTGATGGGCCCAGCTACGTGGGAGGTGTGGTTCTGGGAACATGGTTCCACAGGCATCATCGACAGTGCAGGGACACTGAGGGCACCTGGACAGGGACACTGGGTTTCTCTGTCTCGTAAAGGCCTCTACCCCATCCTCCACCTCAGTGAGATCCTGGGGAAGCCCTTTACCACCCCCAGCCTGGCACCACACAGTGCTGCACCCTGACATCTTCAGC